TAGTGATTTAGAGACTAAAATTTAGGGACTAATTGAATTTAGTCTCTAAAGTTATCATTTTTTACATACAAACAAACTTTAAAAAAAAAAAAAAATAGATATATTACCTTATGAGGAGTGTTGATTTAATTGTCCTCATTTTTGGGTTGTTGCTTCACTTCATTCTCTTCAACACAATTATTTTGTTGTTACTGCTGTTGCTGTTCTTCCACTTTAATATTTTCATTACCAATGCGTTGCTCCACTTCATCCAATGCTTGTAAACAATCATATCATTTTCAATTTCCTCCAACATAACTATCAATGCTCTCATGTCTGGAAAGTCCTTTTTAATTTTTTTATGAATTTCTTGAATAGACCATGAGGTTGGAAGTGTGTTAACTATAGCATGAACTAATATTGCAATGTGGGGCTGGAAACCTTTTTTCCTAAGCTTATAAAACACTTGCTCTTTATGTAACATATGCTCTCGTACCGTTAAATTTGGAGTCATCCGCGCTTGCTCAAGTTCAATCCATAGAGGATGAACATCGTGCTCCTCCTCCATTAAAGCATCCATTAAGTCTGAGGCATCTTTGATTTTATGCTTTTGAAAAATTGTTTCCTTTACTTCATTCCAGCTTGATGGTAAAAGGTCTAATATTGTTTCCACCAATTTTTTTTCACTTATTTTTTTTCCTAATTTTTGCATTGCTCGACATATTTTGATTTTCCAATCAACAAAATTTTCTACTGGTAAACTCTCTTTATGTGGTACAGTTTCAAATTCATTTATGGCATTTTGCATCGCCAAACGATCACTACGGCGCAAATTTAGAGAAGGCCGCATATTTATCTGCACAATGAATTTAACACATTTAACATACAATTACATATGTTAGTCAAGTTGTTTTTAATAATAAACCACATTAATTATTATTTGAGTAAAATTTATAATGATAAAAAAAAGAAGGATACTTAATTATAAAATAAAAATAATTGTATGAATTAAACATAGTATATGTACAGAAAATTAAATTAAATATGAACATGTAAATTTCAAATGCAACATATGTTTTCATACATGAAATTACTTATTTTAAACAATCAATATATGAAGAGAAATAATAAAACAATTGTTTCTAGGGAAATGAAACACATTTGAAACTCTTGAACAAAATTATTGATCAATGCCACTAAAAACTTTTATGTAAACTACATTTTTGGTGACATCATCCGGTGTGCCTTGTTTATTGATAATCAACACCTTTAAGCCTGATGGGGAGGTGACACGTGATAGAGCTACATACAGCTGGCCATGAGAGAAGATTGGATTCAGAAGATAATGGCCCACATTCTTCAAAGTTTGCCCTTGACTCTTATTTATTATCATAGCGAATGCCAGCTTTATTGGGAATTGCCTTCTTTTCATTGTAAAAGGAACATGATTTTTGGAAGGTGTTAAAACAATACATGAAAGTAGTACTTTCTCACCAACTCTAGACCCTGTAATAACTCTAGCTTCAATTACTCGATTTCCCATCTCATCAACAATTAATCGAGTGCCATTGCATAATCCCAAAGATTGGTTGACATTTCTTAGAAGCATTATTGGTGTTCCAACTTTCAACTGCAAACAATGATTTGGAAGTCCTGGTAAATTCAAAGAATGCAAAAGTTCAGGAGGGTTCATGTCTTGAACATTGCTCTCACTTTCTGTTGGACACAATTTATCGGCATTGTTAAAAGTTTTCATCTTTCCAGGAAGCATTAAAAGCATAATAGAATTGATTTCATCAACATCACTATTTTTAGGAGCTAAAATGCCTCGTTCTTTTAAGTACGACATATCCTGATATTTATTTATGAAATCAGGATATGTGGCATCGATTAACTGGTGCAAATCTCTTTCTCCATTTTTTATAACAAATTTTTCTGGTATCTGTATCCAATTGGGTTCATAGCCTTCACTAAATGAGCTTCCCATTATTTTCCCTTCACCAACCAATTTAATCCACTCTGCAAAGTCACGTAATTCATGACGCATATGATTAGAAATATCTTGTGCTGTAAGATGCATATTTCTGGTAAGATGCAAAACTTGACAATGCTCCCAAATTGTTGACTTAGGTAATGAAGCCTCCACTGTTTGTTCACGCCCACCTCTACGTACAACAGGCAATATTTTTCTAAAGTCACCACCAAGCACAATAGTTTTCCACCAAAAGCCCTATCCCCTGAACAATGTTCTGTATTTTTCAATATGTCTCTAAATGTACGATCAACAGCTTCAAAAGCATGACGACTAACCATTGGTGCTTCATCCCATATAATTAACGATGCCTCTTGAATTAACCTTGCCAAATATGTCCCTTGATTTATTGAACAACATGATGAGTTATCAGGGTCAAGTGGAATCTTGAAACGGGAATGGGCAGTTCGTCCCCCGGGTAAGAGCAAAGCTGCAATACCTGATGATGCAACAGAAAGAATGATCTTCTTATCGGATCAAAATTTTGCAATTAAAGTGCTCCATAAATATGTCTTTCTAGTTCCTCCACTACCATACACAAAAAATAAGCCCCCATGATGAGTGGAATAAGCTTCCATTATGGTGTTAAACACTTTCAATTGGTCATCATTCAATCCCACATATAAAGATTCAAAAGATTGCATTTCTGAAATGCTATCGTAGTTCAATTCCTCCCTTATGAGCCTATTAGTAACCATTTGACCTGATCGATATGATGGTAGTGGCATCGGAGGAAACTCTTTAAGAGACCTTCCATTCTGATTTAGCATGTGCTCAATTTCAAGCAATCCTAAATTTTTCAATTCACATTCTTCGAGACTTATGTTGCCATCCCCAATTTGCCTTTGTACCCTATTTTGTAATCATCAGTAAGGTCAAACAAATGATTCTCCCACAATTCATATGCATTTGTAACCTCAAAAAACATTAGCATTGAGAAAAACATATTTCGCAGTTGAGCACCTGATGCCCATGTTGAGGCTTCTGTTAAAGTTGCGTCCCATTCATTATCATCGTCAAGTAAGCCAAGTGCAAGGCATACAGATTTAAATGTTGGGTGCACAATGCCATTAACAGTTCTAATATCTTCATAACATTTTGCACCTCGAACCTTGGTAAGCAGTATACGTAAATAATCTCGTTCACCAGAATTAGGATGTGCATAATACAATCTACCTATGCATATTTGTTGTTGCCTCATTTTCCACTTCTTCTGTTTCTGGTTCCAAACCCATGAGCTAGGAAACTCTTCATATGTTAATGTATTTGCCTCTACATGATCTCTGTTTGCTTGAAACCACCTTGTAAACATTGTCTCGTGAACCCCCGGCTGATTAATAATTGACGGAATGTTATCTGTGTATCTAAATAGAATAGATTGTTCCCTAAGTAGATAGTACTGCAACCGTTCAACTGAAGGGTATTGCTTTTGCAATTCAAACTCAAATATACGCCTGCAACTTTCAATTGTGGAAATATATCGACAATCTAAGTATTGTTTTACCTCATCAGCCTCTCTATACCGACTTTGTCCATCAATGTTATGTCGATTAACATTATCTTCAATTGCAACCGTTGCACGATCAGGACCTTTATGTATGTACTTATATAAGTACTTGATCAATTTGCTGTGTGCACAACGCTCAATATTGATATGGGCATCATACAGTACAATAAGATCACAGTTTTATGGAATGACACATCTGTTGTCAATTTCAAATCCATTAATCATGTATTTTTTCTTTGTATCCCTTCACCTATAGATAGCAAATCCATTTTCATCAATACTTGTTTCACTGCAAAAATTCTTCGGATAATGTTTTGAACATTTTCCATTCACCATACATGGGGCATTTGGGTTAGCACTGCCACAGGGACCATGTATCATGCACCTCATCACTGTTTGAAATGCTAATGGATCTTCATCCTTATCAGGAATTTCAGCACAAATTATATCATCAATTTCCTCTGGCGATTTTATCTTGTCATCTGCTGATAATGTCAAGATAATGTGCGAATGCGGTAATCCTCGCTTTTGAAATTCGATGACGTGAATATCTATTCAAGAAAAAAATAATATTATTTGTTAACTTTAAACTAAATTTAACAAATCTAATTGGCCAGTTCAAATAAAAACAAACCTGCAATTATTTTGCCAAAGAATTTTCGGTTCTTGAAATATGCCATAAGTTGTTTCAATTTAATTCGAAAAACTCTCGCAAGTATATCCAGTATATCCTCTGTCCGTCGATTTGGAATGCGCGCTACCTCCTGTTGAATTTTTGACCAATTTGGGTTACATGTGAATGTGACAAAAAGGTCAGGAAATCTCATCTTTCGACATATTGCGATCGCATCTTGGTAATGCTGAACCATATTTCATGGGCCTTCTGTAAAAGATGATGGCAGTATAAATCTCCTACCAATGGCTGATGCATCACTGTCACCCGCAGTCACAGCATCTTCTAAACCCCTGTACAAATCAGTCTGCAACACATTCTGTTTATGCCTAATGAAGTTTAGTCTATCTAGCTCAATCACTGCATAACAATCAACAACAAATTGTTGGAACAAACATCCCCCTTGCAATAGCGTTTTCCCTTCTCCAACTCGAAATTGAAGTCTAAATGCATAAAACTCTCTCATTGACACTCCTTCTCGTTTGTTGTTTGTACCCAGAGTAAAACTTATAGACCTTCTCCATCCATCAGTCCCATAGGGAAAAAGTAATGGATATTGAAGTGGCATGTATGAAGGATGTGTTTCAAATCCTTTGTAAATGTCCATCTAATTTTCTAACAATTATGTCACAATTTGTAGTGCTTTCAGACCCATCACCAACAATTAATGCAGCAATTTCAGTTATAGTGGGTCTAGTGTACTGTCTTCCATCCCTCGAACTCAAAATGCGAATATGTAATTCCTGAGCACCATTCTCACGAATCATGTCTCGAGCAGTGCGAAAAATTGATACATATGGATTGATGACATACAACATTGACTGTAAACCTTCTAATGTGGACGTATCAATCCCGATGTGCCACCACACCTATTCATAGCGTCCATTCTATTGCGAATTTCATGCTCAGTGTCATAAATATAGAGTTGTGCAAATTTAGGCCTTGTTCCAGGTTCCAGTAGTAGAGAACCAATTTTATGAAAATTTGCTCCACTAATACGAAAAACATAAGGACCCCTTCCATCTAACACTAACTGATCAATTTTCCCACCCATGGACGTGAAGGATAATAGGGAGTTATATGTCCTTATGTGTTCCCTGAATCTCACATGAGTAAACTGTTGTTGTAAAAATTCAGGACTTTCTGGCAATAATGGCAACATCACTTGTCCACTTTGACAACATAGACTAAATTTTGGTCGACTCAATGGACTATCTCTTACTTTTTCCTCCATCCACATCATTGCTTGACATCTAGAGCATGTTACTGTTCTCCCACCAAAGTTTGAGCGGTCTGAAATTTTTCTCCTTCTAGAACGTGTGGTAAATGTACTACCTGAAATTATTTAGATTTAGATTATAATTATGAATTTCTATTGTCTGTAAGAAATTTGTATAGAGTACATAGTTGGCTAAATGTTTATTACCAAGTGGATGTGTTCTACTTGAAGTTGGTGATACAATATTAGGAGCTCGCACTTCTGATTCATTTGTATCTAATTCATTAGATATAGGAATCTGAATTCCAACGTGACTAACATCAGGAGCATTGTCAATATTGCAAATCCATGTTTGTGTGAAAGCACCACGTTGCATTCTTTTGAGTCTCAAGATTGTGATCTTCAAATGTCGATTCTCCTTTTCTATTTTCCGAAGGCAATCCTTTAATGTAGGATCATTACGATCATATCGTGTTAATAGTAATCTTCTTCTTGCCACCGGTCGTGCCAACTTGGAGGAAAGATATTTTCGATATCGATTTTCATATTCTTTATCAACACCTGATATATAATATAAGATGATATTATTATTTTTGTGATTCTTAAAATATTATTGAAAATGTGAAGGTCTCACTAATAAGATTGTAAGAAAATTTGAAATTTAACATTATTGTGTAGAAGTCAATAGATTACCACTATGACGGGCACTATTTCGTAATCTTTTTAAACGCAAAACGATGGTTCTCAAACGTCGAGCCTTCTTTTCTATATTGAGAAGACGAATCTTCAAGGTTGGATCATTACGATCAGAATGCCGTGTCAAAAGCAGTCTTCTTTTGGCTACCAATCGAGCCATCTTGGACTTAAGTCGTGTTTGATTAATTTCTCGATTAAAAATCATATCCATCCTGAAGAGAGTATTAAGTTGAAGCTTACATAACTCATGCTATTAGTTTATAGTACAGATAATGACTTAAGGATGTGTAACATATGACTTTCATATAAAAAACATGATAATCTATAATTGTTTGTAGTTAATTTTGCACATTGAAATAATTAACTCCTACATGATAACATCTACTGTAGAATCCATATAAATAAAATGTATCAAAGATCTAAAATCATGCAAGTTATATATTTATTATATATATATATATATGTATATGATAGTCAGTAATTGTTTCTAGTCATATTAAAATCTACTAAAAAAAGCATGGTAGTCTATAATTGTTTGTAGTTAATTTTGCACATCGAAATCATCAACTCCTACATGATAACATTTGCTATAGCATTCATAAAAATAGTATGTAACCAAAGATCTAAAAATTTGTAATTCAAACCTGGAAATGTCAAATGGTTAACCAATTGTTGCTGATTTATCTGGAATTTACCTTAAGTTTGCTTGTCTTATTCTTCAATAGAATTCAAACTGGAATACAAAAGATAAAGAATACAAAATCTCAGTAAGTACCGTTATTTGTTGTAAGTACATAAAAAAAAAATTAAAAATCTATTATACAACATGGATCTATTGAGGAGCTAATGTAATTATTTGTAAAGAAATTATAATGCAATAGTTTTATAGTAAGCAAAGATAACGTAATCAAATTATTGTTATACATGGGAAAAAAAAACACAAAGGAAAAAGAGGATTTATTTTGATTTATTGTTAGATTTTTTTTTGATGATTTTGTAAATTACAAAATAAACACAAAGTGGTGTCTTTTTGTGGATGTGTATTTTTTTTATTAATTTATTTAATTGAGAGTGGGATTTATTTAATTGATTTAAGTTATAGATATTACTAAATTTTATGTGATGGACGTCTGATTCAATGAATTGTGGGTGTTGGATATGCATGAGTAAATTGTAGGAATAAAAATTGTGGGTTTTTATTTTTTATTTTTAAATAACATGATAATCTAAGATGGTAGAATTTTCATTTCAAACACATAATATTTCCGATTTTCAAACCCAGCATGTACATATATATTTTGGATTTTGTAAAACAAAATAAAACATGAAAGATTAAATTTTGATTGGAACACTCATAGTACCATCCACAGTAGCACCGTTATAAACCATTTCATACCATATCTCAAAGTAAGACATGGAAAAAAAAAAGGAACAATACTACAACCAAAAGAATTTATATGAACACAATTTAAATTACAATCTGCCAAAAATCGAATGTATATGAACACTATTTAAATTCCTAATGCAAATCAAACCCATACTTTTCTCAATAAATACAAAAATGTGTCTTTGTGCAAGTTGATTCAAGGTATTTCAATAATAAAAGTACACCATTAATGAGAAGAAATATTGAATCTGCAAAATTGGGCCCAAGATGGTAGAATTTTCATTTCAAAGCATAATATTTCCGATTTTCAAACCAAGTATGTACAGATATATTTTGGATTTTGTAAGACAAAATAAAACATGAAAGATTAAATTTTGATTGGAACAGTCATATTACCATCCACAGTAGCACCGTTATAACCATTTCATACCATATCTCAAAGTAAAAAAAAAAATATATATATATATATATATTGCAACCAAAAGAATTTATATGAACACAATTTAAATTACAATCTGCCAAAAATCAAATGTATATGAACACTATTTAAATTCCTAATGCAAATCAAACCCATACTTTTCTCAATAAATACAAAAATGTGTCTTTGTGCAAGTGTATTCAAGGTATTTCAATAATAAAAGTACACCATTAATGAAAAGAAATATTGAATCTGCAAAATTGGGCTTCAAAGTTGTTTGGGTTGAAATTCTCTTAAAACTTAAAAGATTTATAGTTTCAAAATCTGCAACTTCAGCAGCTCGTGATTACTGTTGTTGTTATGATCTTTATGAAGAAAAAGTCTATTGTGTGGTCAATTACTACTCTGCTCACCATTTTCATAGAGATAATTAATAAGGTAGTAGATATGATTTGGGCTTTTCATGTGGGTATATTTTAATATAAATAAACAAAAAGGACAAATAAATTTGCAAAATTGGACTGAAAGTTGCTTGTTTTGAAATTCTCTTAAAACTTAAAAGATTTGTGGTTTCAATTTCAAAATCTGCATTCGGTAACAAAAAGAAAAACAAAAACAAAAACAGAGACATCTTCAATGGAGATGAGGGAGAGAGATATAGAACCGGAGAGAAGATTGGATTATATATATCCTATTGAATCTTCATTAAAAATTCAAAATTGGTGGAACGAATATAATTTTCAGAGCATAATAAAAAAAGAAACAGAGACATCTTCAATGGAGATAAGGGAGGGAGATATAGAACCGGAGAGAAGATTGGGTTATATATATATAAATTTTTAGAGCAAACAAAAAGAAAAACAAAAACAAAGATATGGAGATTACAATACTGAGACTTGCATTCGATGGCGGACTGCGGATTGCTGTCGTTCACTGTTCACTGCTGATGAAGGAAATCAATGAAGTACATGTATTTGCAGTAGTGGATTGTTAGAAGTAATGGTTTAAGGGGATATGGATAGATGGGTGGGGTTTTTTTATTTATTTATATCTATCTGTTGTAGGATAGTGAGAGAGTGGGACTGAAAGTGTTTGAAGGTAGGAGAGATTTATTTGAGGTGGGAGAGTAATAGCTTTTTTTGGATAGGTTTTGTTTTTTTTGTTTTTTGTTTTTTGTTTTTGTTTTTGTTTTTTTTTTTTGTTGACAACTTTTTATGGATAGGAGTTGTGGATAGTGGAAGAGTGGGAGTGAAAGTCTTTGAGGGTGAGGGACAAACGTAGGGTAGGAGAAAAGGGTGGAAGGATAGGAGTTTTTATTATTATGAAAGTCTTTGAGAGAGAAGGAAAAGAGCTATAAACTCAAAAGAGAAATGCCACGTATTTTTTAAATTTATGAAAATTTTAAATTGACATTTTGAAGTCTTTTAAAACAACACTACATTCTATTATATATATAGTATAGATATCGTTTTAAAA